TAAATCAATTTAGACTTGGCACATCTGAATATTTCTATCAACACGGGATCTGTTATAAAAACGGATCGAACCATTCCTTCTGGTACCTCCCCCACAAAGGGTCAAAGTTTTGAATAACCAAAACGTTTATAAAATCCACACATCCCATTATTTCCACTAACAAAAGATCTGTTGTGAAGATCCACTCCTTTTGTTACCTCTCCACAAAGGCTCAACATTTTGAATATCCACGAAGCTCATAAAAAGCGAAATAAACATCCGATCCCATTCAAGACTTGGTCCATCTCAATATTTCCATCAACACAAGATCTGTTAAAAAGATGGTAGAGATCAGACCACTTCCTTTGCTTCCTGCCCACAAAGGGTTCAAGATTTTGTCGCAATATTTATATCATATTTATTTAGGTCCTATACGAAATGGCCAATATAGGCCACTTCCTTCGGAACCTACTCCATAAGGGGATAAACATTTGAATAATCATAGCTGAGGTCAAAATATTTTTTAATTATCGTACATTTGATGAGGGTATACATTTGTCGGAAAAACTGACAGATGCTTTTTAACTTGTTTGTATTAAATTTAGGCCACGAAAGAAGATACAGGGAGTTTCGTTCTGGAGCCTACGATTTTCTAATTGGTAGCTGAGCACATCAATATTAATTAAAATCATCCTCGTTGCGGATTCTCTTGTATCTAGACCTTATTGTCTTGACATCGAAAACAAAAAGTCAGTTATGCAGTTTGGTAATTCCTCTATCCCGTAGATTGCTTTATTTATTACCCTTTCTCCAAAAAAAAGTATAGTTTCTGACATGTAAACACCATATGTTAGTAACTTATTTACGATGATAATTAAATAAAATTTATTGGCAATTTAATTTTCCCCAAATGGAATGGACTGGCCGGCCTAACGTGCGAAGCATTCATAAAATTCCTTCTTTTCGAGTCATTCTACTCCATAATTCCCAGGGGTTATGAAAAGCAAAGGCAATACTTTGAATTTCCATAACTGATGACATTCGGGTTAGTGAGTGAGTTTATGTCTTCACTTTCTCTCAATGCCGGGAATTTCATTGCATTTTGGCCTTGTTGTTGTTGCTGTAGTTCATATGCAATTCAACCAACCATCCGACATTTTATGCCACCTTTAAAAGGCCACACTTTTGACACTTTTAATTGCTTGTGCTATGTACATTTCCGCTTTGGCTTGGCTCGTTTATTTGCCCGTTTTTTGTCTTCTCTGCTGTTGTAACTACCTTCCACCAATAAGAATGCCTGGAGTGAGACTCGTTACTTTATGGAGGAAAAACTTGGCCATTTGCCCACATATGCTACGGCGATTTTGCCGTGGCATGCGCTTGCCATGGCATTGTAGTCATATTTTTTCATGTTGTTGCTGTTTTTTGTTTTTACATAATTGCATTTTTTTTCTTGCTGCCCTGGTGTGGTCTAGCCACCAAGACACGTGGTCACGACAGCCAGTTACAGCAGCGGTGCAACATTCTTGTCTCTGAATCGCCGCCTACCCTTAACATTTTTCGAAAACTGCATTCGAAACAATGTAATTCAGTTTTCCGTTTTATGTCCAACCACCAACACCAACATCATCATCATCACCACCCAATGTGGAGGAGCACAACACACAGTTGCCAAGAATGCACTCGAGCCGGTAACAGAGTAACGAGACTGGGCCACAAATTGTTTACAAATAACTGGGTCCCAAAGCGTGTTAACATAACATTAAAGCGAATAGAAATCAAAAACAACAACGATGGACAAACAGGGGCGTGGAGGGGCTCTTTTGGGTATCTGAAACTATTTTATGGGCACAATTAGTAACTGTCATCCATAAAGCAGAAGTTAACTACCCTCAAAACAGGGATCTCCCCACGTCAATGGCCAGAAGCCAACATATGTTGCTAACAACTATCTCCCCCCGCGATTTACCTTTAATTTTTCCAATGTTTTTCTTAGCCACCCTCGTCATGTTGGTTATAATAATAATACAGCAATGTTTTGTTTGATAAAAAAAAACAATGTTTACACAAAAATAAATAATTTCCGCTTATGTCTGTATTTAAGTGCATCCGTCTGTCTAATATGGAGCGAGCATAATAAAGAGCGAGAGACACACCTTCAATGTTTGGCTAAGTAATACAATTTTCATTAGTACATAATTAAGTTAAGGTAAAAACTCAATTTTGACATATCAATTGAAATATTATTTCGAGGTATAATTAAAAAAAGTTTATAACTGAGGGTATATATCATTTGATACGGTCAAAACGTGCCTAGTCGAAATAACGGTTTTAGACCCTAGGTCTCTTTGTACCAAATCCGTTTCAGAACATTTGGAGTCGATCTAGCGATGTCCGTCTGTCCGTCTGGCTTGCTGGTGCGCACGATAACTCTCGAAGGGAGTGTCCGATTTGGTCCAAACTTGAAACATCGTAATATTTTTTTCAAACTTAGATCGAGTTCGGAGATGGGCACTCCTTCTGGTACCTCCCACACAAAATGTCAACATTTTCAAAGAAAATAATTTATTGCACAGAAAGAGAAAGGATAATTCATTCGGCTCCAACTTTGGGAATCCTAATATTTTCATCAGTGCTAGGTCAGGTGTGAAAATGGACACTATCGGTCGACTCCATCAAGTACCTACCCCACAAAGGGTCAAAATTATGAATAATTACAACTCTTATAAAATGCGATGTCTTCAAAATTGAGCATCCCAATATTTTTACTAACCCAAGCTCTGGTGTTAAAATTGAATATATCGGCCTACTCCTTCTGGTACCTCCCACATAAAAAGTCAAAATTTTCAAAAAAAAAAATAATTTTTTGCACAGAAAGAGAAAGAGTAATCCGATTTTGCTCCTACTTTGCAAATCCCAATATTTGCATCAGTGCTAGGTCAGGTGCGAAAATGGACAATATCGGTCCACTCCATCGAGTACCTCCTCCACAAAGGGTCAAAATTTTGAATAATTATAACTCTAATAAAATGTGATGTAAGAGTCCGATTGTCTTCAAATTACACACATCACAATATTTTTATAAACCCACGGTCTGGCCTAAATAAGGTAGATATCGGACCATTTCTTCTGGTACCTCCACCACAGAGGGTCAAAATTTTGAATATCCACGAAGCTCATAAAACTCGAAATTAACATCCGATTCCATTCAGATTTGTTATAAAAATAGTGGAGATCGGACCATTCATTCGGGTACCTCTCCCACAAAGGGTTAAAGATTTGAATAACCAAAACGATTATAAAATCCGAAATAAGCATTCGATTCTTTTCATATTTCCTACATCCTATTATTTCTACTAACACAAGATCTGTTGTGAATATGGGATTCATCCGTCCATTCCTTTTGTTACCTCCCCCACAAAGGGCCAAAATTTTGGATATCCATTTACATCCGATTCCCGTTAGACTTAGCACATCTGAATATTGCTATCAACATAGGATTTGTTGTAAAGGCGTCAGAGATCGGACCATTCCTTCTGGTACGCCCCCCACAAAGGTTCAAAGTTTTGAATAACATAAACGTTTATAAAATCCGAAATAAGCGTCAGGTTCTCTTTATATTTCATAAATCCCATTATTTCCACTAATACAAGATCTGTTTTGAAGATGCGTTATATCAATCCACCTCTTCTGGTATCTCCCCCACAAAGGGTCAAAATATAACCATAAAGCTCATCAATATTTCCATCAATACAAGATCTGTTATAAAGATGGTAGAGATTGGACCATTTCTTCTGGTACCCCCCACATCGGGTTCAATACTTTGAAAAACAAAACGCTAAGGAAATAAGCATCCAACTTTCTTCAAATTTATTTTGCTAAACAAACATTTTTGCTAACACAATATCTGTTGTGAAGAAGATATATATCTGCCAACCTCTTCTGGTACTTACCCACAAAGGGTCACAATTTTCAATACTTTTATCTGTCATAACATGAGAAACAATTCAGCGATTCTTTATAGCTTACTGTGCCTAAATATTTCTCTAAACCAGAAACTTGATATTAATATGAAATTTGCGGGATTTAAGATTTTGCATAAAATTGGATATAAATATTTGATTTTCTTATAGTTTTGCCCATACCAATATTTTTATCTGCATTAGATGAATTACGAAAATTGACGACTTCGGTCGACTATATCTGTTACATCGCGCACATTACATTTTCTAAAAATTATCGCATATCTCATATAAAGTGAGGAAAGTATCCAATTTAGTCCAAACCTGGCACGTCACAATATTTATATCATATTTATTCAGGTCCACTACGAAATGGACAATATTTGTTCATTCTTTCGGAACCTACTCCATAGAGGGTCAACAATTTGAAAAATCATAGAAGAAGTCAAAATATGTTTAAACTATCGAATATCTGTCGTCCAAACCGACTGATACTTTTTAACTTGTTATTTCACATTTTGAACTCAGATACATGTATTTAATTTAATACTTACAATTTTTTAAATCCTCACGTCCAAGCACGTCTAGATTGGAAGTTTGACCAAAATGACATGACAGGCGTTAAAATCTTGTTTGAATTCCGCAGCTTTTTCATTTGTTGGATACAGAAAAAATTCTATTCCGTGAAGAAGATAGATTTAGAAATGTTTGCATGAGTCTTGTGAAAAAATATTACCATGGATTCCTTGTATCCTTTTATTAAAAACTTAAAAGCAGAATTCTTTTAGAAATGTCAAGCAGAGAAAAATTTGAGAAAGATTTCTCTTTCAAAATCCAGAATTCATTGTAATTTTTCAGATGATATTTTTTTCACTGGTCAGGCAGTATACTTTTATCCTTCAGGTGGATTCCTTATTATATTTTTTAAAAATTTTCAATGATTTTCCCGGACTTGTTAATGGACGTTTCGAAATGTATGTATTGAATGAATAAAATTTATTTAAAATTATTTGACAAAAAAAACTTATTTTCCAAAAACATAATTCTACCATGGTTTCTATCATGGTAGAAATACCAGGTAGCAACATAGGTGAAAATTACAACAAAGCAACTTTTTTAGAAACTTGATATGTCAAAGTTTTAACCAGGGCGAATTTATTTGAAGTATAAAATTTGGGGCAAATTGGTTTGCACCAATCAGAACTCTTCATTCTGAAACATTGAATAAGTTTGTTTTGGTTTATTCATATGTATATATTAGTTGAGATTAGTATATTTTTTAACATATAAACTGAAAATACTACAATAACTGGAAGTGTATACGTATTATATAGTCATATCGCTAGAGAAGGTCTGTATAATTTCATATGACCAAAATGTATCTGATCGAAATAACGCCTCTTTCGACGAAATCCGTTTCAGGACATTTGGAGGCGACCCGTCCGTCTGTCTTGCTGGTGCGTACGATAGCTGTAGAATGGATCATCATCCAAACATAGTGCATCGCAATATTATTAACAAACATAATGCGGAGATGGGCAATGTCGTCCCACTCCTTCCGGTTCCTCCCTCACGACATTTTTAACAGCACAGAATCCAGTGCGAAAATACAAAATATATGTTATGTTATCACTTATTTTGTATTCTCTTAATAAAATAAATAATTCTCCTTGTAGCATTAGATATAGGTTTTTAAGAAATGTGTAAAGATTCCAAGTTATCCTTTTGTATTAGAATTAGGGTTGATGCTTTGCCATTAAAAGTGAGTAAATAATAAATGTACATATATGCGTGGAACTTGTGAATTTAAACCTGTGTGTAACTACGGTGGATCTATCGGAATTGTGTACAATATAAAGGTCCCCACTGTATTTTAATGATCTTAGTCACATTTACCCACGGAATTGTTTCAAATTTGGTATTTAAAACTTGCAGTAGATATAAATCCACTTAGTATAAATATGTCTATATAGGTTCATGTTTTGGTATGACTCCAATGTAACGGTTCCACACACTTTATTGGTATTTGAAATCTTTAACTGCATTCTCCTACCGATCTCAGTCGTATTTGTAGTTTAAAGTGGAACATGTTTGAATCCAGATACTTTTGTATAAAAATGTTTTCTTAGGTAATGGTGGAGGGTATTCAAAGCTCGGCCCGGCCGAACTTAATGTTTTTATACCCTCAGCCATATGGCTAAAGAGGGTATATATATTTTGATACGGTCAAAACGTGCCTAGCCGAAATAACGGTTTTAGACCCTAGGTCTCTTTGAACCAAATCCGTTTCAGGACATTTGGAGTCGATCTAGCGATGTCCGTCCGTCCGTCTGTCTGGCTGGCTGGTGCGCACGATAACTCTCGAAGGGAGTATCCGATTCGGTCCTAACTTGGTACATCGTAGTATTTTTGTCAAACTTAGATCGAGTTCGGAGATGGGCAATATCGGTCCACTCCTCCTGGTACCTCCCCTGGTACAGCGCATGGTAATAATTTCATTCTACAACTTATGCCCGTTATATACTTTGGGTTGAAGTGATGAGAACATATTTTGGCGTTTGGGTTTAAAGTGATCCCACAAATCGCACTCCACTTCAACCTCTTCGTCTCTTCCTTGGGTACATTGAAAAATGTTGCTTGTCGTTCACTATCCTTTCTTTTGCAAACAGCACAGCACCTCATATTCTGTTTTTTTTTTTTATTTGAATTATATCACAAAATTTGATTTTTATATTTTTGTGTTTATTTTTTCCTCTATGATGTTTGAATTTCTGTTATGTATTTCTACGGCGAATTCGAATTACAACAACTTGTTTGACATATCAAGTTGACTACAGCTGGCCTGAAAGGGTTACCTTGTAATTCTACCATGGTTTCTATACTATAAATTATAATTGCTTCAAAATCAAAATTCAAAGTGCTCACAACCGGTCTTTGTCAGATAACACTCAACAAGACTTCCATTTAAATAAATTCTATGCTCAAATTACCCCGTCCGCCCGCCTGCCCATCTGTTATAATCACGCTAGAACCAAAACGAAAAAAGATAGGAAGTGAAAATTTTGCACAGATCAGTCTTTTGTCTGCAGGCAGGTCAGGTTCGACATCGTAAGCCACCATATAACGGTTCCTCCCGAAATTTTTCAATTAAATTATCTGAAAGTCCACAAAAGGAGTTCCTTCTGAATACTTTACCCACTGGAAGAGCATTGTCTATACAGGGTGAGATAAAAAAAACTGCAACAAAGTCAAGCGCCCCGACTTTTACATTTTATTTGACTTTTACAAATTTTATTGAATTAAAGCAAAAAATGTCGAAATAAACATCAAATTTTAGAATAAGTTTAGATTTATTCGAATTGGTCACCTTTGGCACGAATTATGGCCTTCAAACGACCAATGAAACCGTCACACGCTTCCCGAATGTTGCTCTGCGGTATTTTGGCCCATTCCCGGCGAAGCGCTTGCTTGAGGTGATCGACACTTTGGTATTTTTTAGATTGGTATTTGGAGATTTTGGTGGCCATGGTGCGCTGGAGATGAAGCGAGGAACCCAATTTCAGCTGAACTCTTTGGCTAGTAAACACGATAATTTTGTTTGTTAACAAACTGCTGGACAACGAATCTTTTCTGATCGAAGAAAACCAAATTCGCCAGTTCACCACTTTCGGCCAAGCGAAGCAACTCTTTAGCTCTTTTGAGTCTATTTTCTTTCTGTTGTGGTGTAAGTTCTTGCACTTTTTGGAATTTAAATGAATTTACCCCGAGCTCATTTTTCAATATTTGCCGAATGGAATATTGGGAGCCATTTTTCGTCCACTGCAACGCGGGTTTCGATAAAGTCGCTTCTTTACTTTTCAAACCATTTCTGATGATGTTGCTGTTTTCTTCCGTCCACTTCCTTGATGTCGGGCTACGTTACCAGTGCTCTAACGATAGCCACTTGTGGTTTTCCAGAATCTTACCCCATTGGGCTCTGCAGGGGCCTTCGTTAAAGGCTGGTTCTATATTGGAAATTTTTGTAGTTTTTATCCACTGAGAACTATAAAACAACAACTTAAAAACCAAATACCAAATAATAACTTTGTAAAAACGCAGTCAGAAACCTTAAAAAAATAAGATTAAGAAGTACTGTTATAGAGGGCCTATATATAAAAGTGGACTTATCTTCACAAAATTTTGCAGGGAAAGATTCTCAATGTACCTAAAATTTGAAAGTGCCGTTAGGTATGGCCAACTACGTAATGGCGGAGTTTTCTTCAAAAAAATTTTGCAGTGAGAAATCCTGTCAGTTCTGAGCTCAAAATGTCAAGCAACTCTTGATTAGGTTTAAAATTATGGTCGAAACCTTCATAATACCGAAAATTTGGAGGAACGGTAACATGGGGCCTGTACCAAATATTAGAGATATGTTAACATTTTTAGCAGGGAGAGATTATATATATTCGGAACTGTAAATGTCATATTTTTTGTCAAAACATTCAAAATACCGAAAATTAGAAAGTAACGCTACATGGGTGCCATACCGAAACGTGGACCGATATGCTACATTTTTAATACCAAACATACTAGTGGTAATATAAATGTCTGAGCAAAATTTCAAAGCGGTAGAATGTTTCCCTGAATTAATCTCCATTTTTGAGGATCTCACCCTGCTGTGCAGCGGTCTGCATATCAAAATGTGTCATTTTGGAAAAATTAATGTATCATTATCAAAATGGGCCTCATTGAAAGAACGACTGCAGACCCCATGTATCACATCGTAATTGGTTGATAAGACTTAGTTGTTGAGAGAATTGACAATACTGGTCCACTATTTTAAAATCTCAGAAATATGAAATCAGAAATCATTTAGACGCCAGGGTGGCAGAATTACATAAGGGTACCTCTTCCTTACAAGGGCCCAACCTTATGAACAATCCCAACTTTCATAAAATGCAAAAATACTCCCCACTTCCGTTTATAGTGACCACATTACAATTGTTTTCTAAGATTAGATGTAGTATAAAGGTCCGAACTTGATTGTATGTCCACCAAAAAGTTTATACAAAAACGGTCAAATGCTACGGGTATATAACTGTCAGAACATCGCTCGAAGCTTGTAACTTGTTTTTAATTTTTTTTTCACATGTTTTTTGAATACATTCTATAAACTCGATTTAATTAATTTTTGGGTCTAATTTCGATCGTTGATATTGATGACCGCCTAAAGGCCAAAATTCCCTCTTATTTTCAATTTAGTGTGGAAAAACCACAACAAAGCCTTCCCTAGATTTATTGCAAACAGTTGACCCGTTTTGTTTAGCTATTATGCTATTGCAGTTTCCAAGTGGCCGCAAAACATGAACGCTAGTGATTAGAAAAACATTTGCTAACAGTTTTTCCTCTTCACCGAGACTTACCCCCTCTCCCCTTTCCCCTTGGGCTAATAAAACTCTTTGGCGTTTTTCCGCACAATTTCATTTCTGTTGTTTTTGTTGTTTTATAAATAAACAATGAGTAATTGTTGTCGTTCTTTTTGGCATCGATTTTGACCACGAATGAAGGGGCACAACAACAACCAAAAAGAAGAACAGCAGCAGCAACAACGTGTTAAGAATGTTTGATAGCGCCAAAGACATTGTTGTTGTAATTGTTTTTTGCTATTGAACCGCAAAAATAAAATCGAGCAGAACACAAAAATTCAATCAACCCAAAAGTATCCGATTGATTTGACTGAAGACAAGCGAAGAACGGAGATGGCGAAAAACAAAACCGAAACCATAACCAAAACGATCGGAGGAATTTGTTTTCAATTACCCTTCAAAGATTGTGGAAATTTATGTACTTGGAAACTTTTTTTCGCATGCTGTGTGAGAACACAGAAATCTATGCTTGACGATATCAATCGCTCTCAATTTCCAGCTGAGGAACTTCATAGGTGTGGTAGTGGTGGCTGATAGTTTTATGCAAATATTTTTCGGCTACACCATATGGTCGGCCAACTCTCCTCGTCCGTATGTCTATTTTTGTAAATAATTATTTTCTACTTTACCTTTTTTGTACGGCCTCCTCTTCCATTTCCGATGAGTTTTAATTTATGTGGAAAATATTATTCGTAGCACAACTTTGTCATGCTCTATTAGCAGCTTGTATGGAATAGAAATTATTTTCTTACAGAGTATCAATCACTCACCATATGGCATCGAAATCCGACAGCATAGCAAGTTTTTTTTTTTTAATTTCATGCAAGTTGTTGCTACTTTAGGGTTCATTCATAGAGTTGGAAATTTAGAATTAGCTTAAGCTGAATGGCTCGACAATATTTAGTGAATGAAAAATAGTTAATTGAAGGGCGTATGTTAGAAAACTAGGGGATCGTTTTTTTTTTTAACGTTTGCTAATAATATATCTAAGAGCCAACCCAAATTTGTACACGTGTAAAATATTCATAAATTCAAAAATTTGCGCACTTGAAAGCCGTTAATAACGAATAACCACATTGTTTCGGAAACATGAAAAATTGCTCCCTCCATAAAAATTGGTCCCCCAGAGGGAATTTCTTAGGTACGGGAGCCACTATTAATATTACACATCTATTTTCATATATAAAAGAGTAGTCAGAAAAGTGATTGACTGACTGAAAATAGAAACTTGACATTTTGCACGAGGGTCAGTCTTAGGGGTTTTCAAAATACAAAACACACTAAAAGTAAAAGGTACGAAAAGTATTAAAATGTACCAACAAATTTTATATTTTGTTTTGGACAAACGGAATGAGTTTGAATTCTGAAATTTGGAAC